TATATATATATATATATATATATATATATATATATATATATATATATATATATATATATATATATATATATGAATAATAGGCTCGGGGGGGTGGGGGGGGGAAAGGCTGTTAGATTATGTAGTCCATGTCTGTGTCAATGAAGAATTATCCCCTTATTGCATATTTACTAGTGTTTTGTCCAGTCTACTTTAAATTTTTCATATGCTTTTGTAAACTATAATGTGAAAATACTTTCATTTTAACAGCTGATATTAACTAAAATGCAATTTCATTATTATACATAAAAGCTCAGCATCTGGTCTAGTTGAAATATAAAATTACTTTACTTTTTGCTCTCACTTTTAGCTATGACCCTTCGGCCAAAATTAGTCAACAGAAAATTTGTTATTGGCACTGCCAAATAAGAAACCAGGTGCACTTTGCTTCCGTTGATGTTTATTTCAACATCTTTCTCTTGTTCTTCACATCTTGAGAAATTTTGGAATAGATATTTGTTCTGACAGCTTTCATATGTTAATTCATTGGGATTGCTAGAGGCAGATACACTTCCTTGTCTGAATCTTGTTAGAGTTTAACATTTGAGTGTGTATTTACCCCAGAAAAATGTATGTATTCTGTGGCATATTGTGAAGCCAAAGAAGCACACTGGAAAACAGGATCTGGCCCACTAAATTCATGTTATGGACTAACTGCCTGTTATGTTTCAATTAAGTCATTGTTTAGGTAGTGTGAATGATCTGTTTTTACTCAGATATAGATGCAACTCCCTTTGATGTGTGTTGGAGTTGTCTGGGACATATATTCCAAAGAGTTCTTTCACTGAAGTCTGTATTGCTACTCTAAATTGACATGAGTGTAAGTGAGAGCACAGTGTGACCCCATGTATCACAAACAATGGTTCCCTTTTACTAAGAAATGATAAACAAATGTATTTTATTTTCATTGATATTTTGCATGGATGTACAGCTGTTCTCTAAGTGGAGCAGTCTGACTGGTGACCGCTGGGGTACTTAATCTTCTTTGCTGCACTTTCCCATAAAGTAACACACAAACAAACTTTCCAAATCGTTTAGAAGGTAGGTGATGGAAACAATACTGGGAATGCTATGTCAAGTCCCATAACAGCCTGATTTATCTGTGGTCATGTTCAAATAATGCTTCTAAAAACAAATGTCCGCAATATCAGCCTCAAATTTAGATACTGTACCAGTGTATCTGGTTACTGAATATAGTGTGCATGAAACAGTAGGTTAGTTTAAATATTTTTGATCAGTTGAAAGACAGTAGGGCATGATTGTGGAACCCTTACTCACATCAGTAGTTCAGTTTACTTGAGTGGACAGATTACTTATGTAAGTAAGGGTTTCAGGAGCTGGCCCTAGAGGTGTAATTTGATAAAATTTCACAAATGTGTATATATTGTATTCCCTTCCACAAAAAATAATGGTATGAAACTCAAAGTAATCTTTTGCATTAACAAAGAATGTTGAAAGGCAGGAATGAGAGCTAAGATATCCAATGTAAAGCTTGTAGCAGTTTTGTAACCAATTGTTTTGTATGGGGTTTTTATCATCTTGATGAAAGTGCAAAAAACAAACAGACCCAACCAGCGCCTGTAGAAAGAAAAAAGTCATATGCTCTCTTGAAATCCAGAAAAAATCACATGGGTTAACTATATATTTTAGTCATAGACAGTCAGAATTAAAACTAGTACCACAGCTAGTTTTAATTAAGTTGATGATAATGGACCACAGCATAAAATACAAAGACTGCCATTGACTCTTTGCCAGGTGAAGGGGTCTATGGACACAGGATTTATGCAGACATATATAAATCCCTCTTCCTCTAAACCTATAAGGATGGAAAAATAGACTCCAGGACATATATAATTCAGATTGCACATGCATGTGAGAAGATTATATTATTCAACTACTGTCTTAGTAATAACACTAAATATTATCACATATTGTGATGATTTTAGAAAACAGTAATTATTTTCTTTTCCTTTAGTGCAGTGTTTGGAGATGACAACCAAAAGGAAAATTATTGGCCGTCTGGTGCCATGCCGATGTTTCCGGGGTGAAGAGGAAATCATCTCAGTGCTAGATTACTCCCATTGCAGCCTACAGCAGGTGCCAAAGGAGGTTTTTAATTTAGAACGGACATTAGAGGAGCTTTACCTAGATGCCAATCAAATTGAAGATCTACCTAAGGTAAATACTGTTCTTTCTGTAATAGAGAAACACAAGGTGTGTTACTAAATGAGCATTTAAAATGAACTTCGATTTTGAAGAGGGTCTGTATAAAAATAACAACTTCTGATACTGGTTGGTTTTTTTTTTTTGGTTTATGTATTTTTCTTCCATTAGCTCTGCAGAGCCAACATGGCTAAGGAAAGATTGAGCAGGATTCTATTTCTTCTAGTACATAGTACAGAAAATGTAGATTGGGAGCATCTTTTCTCCCTGTTTAGTGATACTAAGGATACATTCAATGAAATAAAAAAGTGGGAAATTCAAAACTGATAAAAGGAATGGTGGATTTGATTTAAATCAAATTGATTAATTAACTAGTCCGGAAGACTTGATTTAAGCATAGATTTCTACATAAAAGTGCATTCTTGTTGGTTGTTATAAACTTAATACATATTCTTCACAACTCAGAGATAGATGTAGGTTTCATTTTTAGAAGGTACACACTATACATTTTTTAAGTGATTTATTTTGAAAACTTTTCAGATTAGTTTTGCAGCTATATCAGAAAGTGAATGATTGTTTGGTTATTTCATTTACCAAAGGTAATTGAAGCAGATAGTTCACCTCCCAGTGACTTCATAAATATCTCCAATTCGACAGGTTCATCATTAATATTTGGAGGATTTTCTTGCCATGCAGTATCAGGAGGAGATCATCACCAGACAGACATTTAAATTGTTTTATTTAACTAAAACAACAACGTTATGTATTCTGGATTTTTTCTTCAACAGCAAACATAATATTTTAACAAAACTAGCATATGAATTTTTGAATTTAGTTAAACATTCAAGTTTTTTAAAATCAGGTTTGTTTTCGTTAAAATTATTTTTAACGAAAATAGCTAAATGAAATATTAAAAAAAAAACTAAAATTAAATACAACTAATGTCAGCCAGGTCAACATGAGAAACTTAAAATAATTGGCTTCTTCAGCTATCTCAGTTGTCCTCACCTTCATTTTCCTGTTTGCTCATAATCCCTCC